TATCATTTTAATTATATGACATTCTGGAAAAGGTGAAAGGGAAGACAATGAAAAAATCAGTGTTTGGCAGAGCTAAGATGGATAAGAGACAAATAGAGCACAGAAGATTTTTAGGGCAGTGAAATTACCCTATTTGATACTATAATAATGGATAGGTATGTCATTATACTTTATCTAAACCCATAGACTGGGTTTAGACACCACCAAGAGAGACCCTAAAGTAAATTATGGACTTTAGATGATGATACGTGTCAATTGTTGAAAAAGAAAAAGCAAATTCAGATGAGTGATGTTGATAATGGGAGAGGCCTTGGAGTTCCAGAATAGGTAGAGTTTGGATTACTCTGGCAAACTGGGTTTGTTAGATAATATAGATGCAATCAACAAGGACTCTGCCTTTGTCCTGTTTCAATCTTGTGTTAACAGGCACCTGGAAAGTGCCAGCCAGGGTCCAGCTGTCATCAGGAGGAGTAGGTGACAAAGAGAGACAAGGAGACACAAAGGAGCCACATTCAGGAAAAAGGCAAGACCCCTCTAGATAATAGGTGACATTGGGTACTGCAGAGTTCTTATAGGATCCCATGTTTTAATGTGGAAGATATTCTGTCTCCTAGGAACCTGCTGGTTTCTGGAAAGGCCTCATTTACATGTTTCCAATCTGGCAGGAAAAGATGCAGTGGATATTAAAGGTCACAATAAGGGTGGGATTTTAAACATTAATATCACAGGAACACCATTTCATATTTCTTCTGAGGGGAAACAAAGTAGCCTAAAGACATATCTGTAAGCACAAAATAAATAAATAAACTGAAATTAATGTTTAAAGAATGTGTATCTAGGGCCTCCCTTGTGGCGCAAGGGGTTAAGCACCACACTATGAAGTAATCTGCAGCCTTTGCAGGAAGTGTTCGATCCCCAGCCTGCCAGAGAGAAACTCACGTGGCAAGGCAGACTTCTCCTGTCTTGCCCGCTGCTCCCCTCAGCAGTGTATTTGAGTCAGTCTGCCTGTTCTGCTTCCCAGCTCTGGTTCTGGTGAATCCTCTCACCATCCATGCCTCTGGCCTGTACCCCAGCTCTTGTATGCATAAATAAATAAATCTTTTTTAAAAATTTAAAAAAGAGAATGTGTATCTAACTTTATATGATAGAAGTTTTGGTGGGGAACACCAATCCCCATAAATGGATCTCATGAGATGTTACATTCAAGGCTTCCATGGTGATATGAGCATCGTATCAGTTTTTCTGTACCTTTCCCCCAATTTTATTAATAATGAATCTATAGAAAAGAAGCAAGATTTAGGTCCAGAGTCCAGGAAAATAGTTGGAGAATGATTTTAGGAATAATAAAAGATTAAGGGTACCATTATGTCATCAGGCTCCTTCCTGCACCTGTTTTCCATTTTGCATCTAAATGTTATCTTTTCAGTTTTATTCATTTATTTATTTAACATCATTGATAATTTTTAAACAATATTTGCTCCCCCCCAAGTGTAGTCCCCATAGAGTTTCGTTCACCAATGCACCCGTGTACCATCACCCCAGTCCCCTGGGCTCCTCCCTCCCTCCCTCTGATCCCTCTCCTGCCTCCTCCCCTGCAGGTTTATAATTGTCTGGTCAAAAAGACTGTCCTCATTGTGCCTCTCTCCTGGGGGGATGCAGCTGGTGGTGACCCCCTTCTTCCTGGGTGTTCTGGCACCTGCCTTGTAATGCCTAATCTGACAGAACTTGGCTCCAACTCTAATCAAGTTCAGGTGCGATTCTCATGCCCTCTTCATGAAGCTTCGGGAGAGTCATTTGCTGTCACCTCAGTTCTAATAGGGTAAATGGAGCTCCCTTCCCCACTCCCCCCCAGTCCTTTGAATCAGCCTCCATGAGTTAAGGTTCAGGCCTCTTTTATGAAGAATCACTGTCTTCAATACCCCCAGAGGGTGGACTGGGGAAGTCAGGACCCCTAGTTCCCTCCCTGGTCAACCAGCATTCCATTCACCAGGGCCTACCCTGCCCCCAAACCTCCCGTGGCTACTCTGAGAGCTGATGCCAGTTTTGCCAATTACATATTCTTTTCCCAAGGTACCTATGGGATCCCGGGAATTGTCTGGTTAGCTGGTAGGTGTTTGAGTTTTAGGCAGTGGCTGCTGTAAAAATGACGAAAAGGAATATTTATTGAATATTAGCTGTGATCTCTGTACGTTCGTAAATGCTTTACACACATGGAATCAATCCTCCCAACAAGCCAATGAGGTACATAGTCATTATCATCATCATTATAAAAATTGAGACACGATGACATGAAATGTCTTTCTCAACTCCCTCAACTAGTTTGTGCGAGGCTGGAATTGCAGTCCAGCTAGCTCATTCCAGAGGTGGTGCTTAGCTGCTGAACTCTGCTGCCCCGCAGGGCTGGCTCAGTGGCAAGGTGAAGGGTGTACCACGTGCACATCCTCAGCCCAAGCAGTGCGATGCTCTCGCTCAACTGAGCCAATAAGTCACAGAGCACAGATGCTCGCCTCTGGCCACTGCCAGGAGGCCATGTGCGCATGTGCATGGACACACGGCCTGCCTCCTCCACTGCTGTCCTCTGGAGCACAAGCACATTTCATGTGCCCAAACTCACATCACATGTGGTGCTGCTGTCCCAGCAAGATGGCAGAACTCCTTGTCAGTATAATCCAGGACAATAATAATAACATCCCTAAACAGCAACAACAAAAGCTGTATGTTTATATGGAAGTTTAACAAAAACCTTTGTTCTAGATTTACTGCTTGGAAAATTATGGACGTTTCATCCAAGCTGAACTTGTCTCATTTTTAAGGGAACTGCTGTTGTGCTGAAGCCTGAGGCTTAACCTGCTCATAGGACCAACCAGCATCAAGTTCCAGATGTTTCTAGCCTGCAGGCCAGCTGCACAGCAACTTGCTTTCAAACACAAATGTTAGAAGAGTTGAAAATAACTTTTCGTAACTTCAATACCATACTTATATCTAGGAGAGATTTTTTTTATGATGATCTTCTCAGTCCCCAAGGTAGAGGCTCCGGAGAAAGGGTTAGAAGGTTCAGACTGCTCTGCAGCATGGCTCAGGGAGTGTTAGAAACTTGCCCAGAGTCTGCTTTGCTGCCCTGTAACACCATTTTCGTTTTTCTGAAACCACTCATAGGAGGGGCAGTAGGAAGGATGCACATCTTTATGTAGTAAATGGGGAAGCTAGATTGCAAGCTCCATGAGGACAAGAGCTATGAGGGGGACTGAGTGCAACCCAGTGCCTCCGAGGTGTGCAACTCGCTAACAAATGTTGGTTGATTGAATGATGGATGGACAGAAGAAAGAAACTTGGGTTGGCTGACTTGGCCCTACACCTACTGCGGGGCAGAGGCTGGTGGGAGGAGTTCAGGGAATTAGAATTGCTGTCTGGTGGTCAGTACTGGCCTTAGCTTCTCTGTAGCTTCTCTCGCGCTCTATAATCCATTCGTTGTATTGAGATCAGAGTGATGTTAAATATGTAACCCAAACCATAACCCCCTCCACGCCACCATGATTGAATCCTCATCCCTCTTGGTATAAGGTGTGAGCTCCTTAGCACCTGCCTGTCTTGTCCACCTCTCCAATCCAGTGACACCACTTCCTTCTGAGTGCCTCCCCCTCCCCAGGCACCTGCCTCAGGCTTTAGCACTTTGCACTGCCTGTTCCTCCCCAGGCTCTGCCCCTGGATCTTTACTTGACCTGCACCTTCTGGCCTTCGGGTGTCAGATTAATTGCCCCTTACTCAGAGAGCCCTAATTGGGACTGCTAATTGAAAGTACACCTCCCCCACCACCCCACTCCCATTATATCACCCGGGGGCCATTTTCTTCCTTGAAATTTATCAGAATTGGGCCTCCCTGGTGGAGCAAGGGGTTAAGCACCGCACTATGAAGTAATCCACAGCCTCTGCAGCACGAGTTCAATCCCCGCCCAGCCAGGGAGCTACCCACATGGCGCGGCAGACCTCTCCTGTCTCCCCGCTGCTCCTCTCAGCAGCGTATTTCAGTCCGTCTGCCTGTTCTGTTCCCTGCTGTCTCTGGGGTCCTCTCACCCCCCGCATCTCTGGCCTGTACCCCAGCTCTTGTATGCATAAATAAATCAATCTTAAAAAAAAAAAATCTGAATTGCCCTGTTCATTTATTTCCCAGTTCAGTGTCAGGAGCTGCACGGTTTGCCTTGGTAGGATTTCCATAAAATACTGCTGAGCGATGGATGAATGGATGATAAGATGAGTGAATGAACGAACGAGTGAATGAAAATAAAAGCGCAGGCCGCCGAGACGCCCTCCCGGGGCGGGCGGAACCCGCGGGCGGAACCCGCGGGCGGAACCCGAGGGCGGCGCCGCGGTTTCCCGTAAAGGCGCGGGAGCCTCTCGGGCGCACACCGGAAGGCCGGGCGGCGCGGCACCGGCGGGTGAGTGCGGCTCCGCCGGGGCTGGGCGCGGGCCGGGGGCGCGGGCGCCGGCGGAGGCGGCGGGGACCCGCTGCGGGGGCCCGCGGGGCGGGCGGGGCGCGGCCGGAGGGCGGGAGCGGGGCGCGGGCGGGCTCCGCGCGGGCCTGGGGGGCCCGCGGCCCGGTCAACTGCCGGGGCTGCCCCTGCCTTGCGGCCCGGCCCCCGGCCTGACCCCCGGCCTGACCCCCGGCCCGACCCCGGGCCCGACCCCCGGCCTGACCCCGGCTGCAGCGTCCCCCCTTGCAAGTTGGGGCGAGTCTTGCCGGGCAGCTGCGTGGACGGCTCCTTCCTTCCAGGTGCTCGCCGGCTGCTAATTCATTGCTGGCCGGGGCGCCTCGCACCGGGCCCCGGGGACCCAGCTTCGGGAGAAGCCCCCGCCCTTGGGGAGTTCTTTGAAGAACAGACAACCCTGCTTTTGACATGACCGAAATTAATTTGAACTTGTAACATTTGCCGAGCCGGGTAGGAATTCCCTTGTCGGCCTAGAGTGATGACAACTTCAATAACAGAAAAACTCCGGCGGTGCGTTCCCGCCCCTCTCGGATGTGAGCTTTGCAGCCTCGCGAGTGACTCTGAGCTCGTGGTGCAGCCTCGTTTTTCTGACTAGGGGACGGACTACATGATGTGACTGACTCTCACTACCAGCAGGTGACAAAGTGAAAGGCTAGACTCGGCCCAGAACCCCTGGGCTCGTTAGTGCTCCTGGCTCTGCACTGGGTTGCCTGGTTGTTCCCACTTTCATAATTCACGGGTCCTTCGTTTGTCAGAGGAAGTTCAGGGGTGGCCTAAGGCAGACTTGTCCACTCTCAGATGTGCTGTAGCTTCTTACGGACATCCTTCGCTTTCTACGTTTGTCTTGGATGATTTTGTCTGCTCTCAAACATGCCCTCACACCAAGGAGCCCCAAATCTTTAGCTTCTACCCAAGTTCCCCGGGTTTCGAACTGCTAAATCGAGATTCTCATTGGTCATTACCACTTGGATGCCCCACAGCTTTTCAGACTCATTATCTCTAAAAAGGCACAGGCTGCTTTTCTCCACGATCCTGCTGCTCCAGATGAAATGGTTGAAGTCATTATCCAGTCAGTTGCCCAAGGAGAAACCTGGCTTGGTTCCTCCTCCCACCTCCTGCAATCAATTGCCAAGTGGCTGCCAAATTTCCACTTTCTAAAGATCTCCCAAAGCCACCCTGTATGTCTGCTTTCTTTCCTTCAGGTGCCTAGACATTGTGGTAACAACTTCCCTTTGACTCTCTGTAGCTTTAAGCCCAGCTTCCAGTCCATTTTGCATCTAGCTACAAAGTGATCTTTCTACAGTTCAAATATGATATGTCACTCAGTTAAATTCCTTCGAAAGGTTTTTTTTTTTGTCATCTTCAACATAATATTCCAGAGTACTTAGTATGGATTCAAGATCCTTGCTGACTTTCCCAAACCTTCTCTATCCTTTATCTCCAAACCACTGTTTCTCAAAAGTGCGGGGGGCGGGGGGGGGGGGGGCGGGTGGGCGCTGCCCTCAAGAGCCTGATGATAGCCTAGCAGGAACAACTCAGGACCTCTGGGTGGGTGATGCCCAGGAATCTACGTTTTAACCCGTTTCACAGTAGGGCTTGAGAGGTGTTGTTCTAGATACTCTCCCATGTTTATTCATTCCCGACTAACTGCCTTTATTTCCCCAAACACATCTTGTTTATGCCTTTGTGCCCATTAGTCTCGTTAGCACCTTCTTGTGTAACTCTTACCCTTCAGCATAAAGGTCCCGCCTCCTGGAAGACCTGACAGACCACGCTGCACTGATCACCTGCAGCCTATTAGGTCCATCCTTGTGAGGTCTTAGACACAGCTGACCCCTCATCCTCCCCACCCTGTACTGCAATCATAAATTGTGTCATTGTATTGCTGTTGTGGATTTACCAGTTGTGTGCTCTGGAGATCTAGAGACTTGTTCTTTCTTGCCTAACACCCAGCTGTTAGGTGTTTATTAAAGGCTTGTCGAGCGAATGAGGACAGTACGGTCACATGGGGAGGTGTTCAGTTATCAGATGGGCCTTTGGGTTTCTTCATGTATTAGCTTGGATGGTCTCCCAGATACCCAGGAAGGTGGCTTTCCTGGCACTAGCTTCATTGCTGCTGGCGATAGAGATGTTTCTTGCCTTGAGAGGAATTTTAGCCAATAGTGGATTTAAAAAATTACTTAGAGACACTTACTAAAGCATGGTCAGGCAGGAGCCTCCCTGGTGGCACAAGGGGTTAAGATGCAGCCTATGGAGCTGTCTGCAGCCATTGCAGCATGAGTTCGATCCCCGGCCTGACAGGGAGCAGCCCACATGGCACAGCAGACCTCTCCTGTCTCCCCGCTGCTCCCCTCAGCTGTGTACTTCAATCTGCCTGCTCTGTTCCCCACTCTGTCTCTGGTGAATCCTCTCACCCCTCATGCTTCTGGCCTGTACCCCAGCTCTTGTGTACTTAAATAAATAAATAAATCTTTAAAAGAAAGAAAAAGAGTGGTCAGGCAGACTTTACTCCATGTAGGGAGAAGCCTCTTGATGTACATACAAACCTGCACAGGGTGTCTTGCGGTGGGGAGGAAGATTGGACTCACCTTCGACTCCAAAGATAACAGTGGGGGTTATAGCCAAGGAGCGGGGTGGGGGGTAGAATGGAAACTTACGAAGAGGAGACATCTGGGATGAGGGAGATGCTTGTTAAGACTATTCTACAGAATTCTTGCTGACGGCTGCCCAGGGCGATAAGATATCTAGGTGGTCAGGAACTGTGGGCTGGGATTTTTGCCAAACTAACTTAGCAGGATTCTTGCTCAGACTGGTGCAGGTACTTGAATAGTGTTCAGTTCAACGTCCTGTCCTTATAATGTTGATGAGAAGAAAATATCAGTTCCAGTCGGGGCCACATCTGTGTGGGGTTGCATGTTCTCCCCATGTCTGGGTGGATTTTCTGGGGGGGGGGGTGCTGCTGTCCATATCTGAAAGATACATGAGATACATTGGTGCGTCTCAGTTATCCCAGTTGGCGTGAGTGTGGGGTGTGCGATGCGCCCCTCAGTAGAAGGGGTCCTGCGCAGGGTGGTGCCCTGCCCATCTTGTGCCCTGAACAGGAACGAGTGGATTGGAAAATGCTTCATGCTAGAACTGTTTTTTATTTGTAAATAGAAGTTTGGCGATGCTTTTGTGCTGTAGGAATTTTATCTCCACTAGCCTGGAGTAAAATAAGGATCATCAAATAAATGCTGTGAAGAAAACAGGTTAAGGATATGTTGTCACTTTGGCTTTTTAGTGAGGTGCTAATGTGCTTCCCTTGGGGGGGGAACATGATCAAAGCAAATCGTTAATTTCATAGGTTCATTTGATCACGTTCATGATAGATCTTTGTCATTTACAAGCCTTTGCTCAGGAAGTTGAGCTTTTACACAGCCACATGCTCTTCCTCTTAATGGAGTTTCCTGGGGATGGTCTCTGCTCGAGGGGAAAGAAGGAAAGGAGAGGAGTGAGCCTGGAACATCTGTGGAAGCGTGGAAGACAGTACGAGGGGTTACATGCTTTCTTTGGAGGATTACATTTTCCTTTTTCTGCCTCTGCTAGCCCGTCAGATCCCTAGGAGAAGATGACTGTGGTCTTTAAGACACTTCGAAATCACTGGAAGAAAACTACAGCCGGGATCTGCCTGCTGACATGGGGAGGTCGCTGGCTCTATGAGAAGCACTGGTAAGCCCCTGGCAGCCCTGCCTCACCCCATCCTGCCTTCACCGCCACCAAAACTGCCCCAAAGCATCAAAGGTTAAATCCTGCCCGGCTGTGCTTGACTCTGTAAACACTGTTGTAAAAGAGAATGTTGAACCAGAAGCAGAGAAGGGCTTCTTGTAACCAGTTTTGGAAAACTGGCTCTCTGCAGAGCTACTGACACTCACCTTTCAGCGGGTGTAGAGGAGGGTCGTGAGATTGAAAGGTGAAGAAAGGGAGGCCTTGAGAGGGAAAAGTCCCCTCCTAGGTTAACTGGGGACAGGGACTGGAAGTCGACGATCACCCTCGGGCTTTATTCCTTAGTTTCTTACCGCAGCCCCTTGGTCTTGACCATTGCTGGACATCCCCTGAGCTTGCTCCTTCCACCCCGTGACTCCAGATCTCTCTCCCATTAGCCTAAGCTAATTTAAATGAGCATTTTTCAAACAAACCTTTTGTTTGAAAAAAGAAAATGGTGGCGTCGTGGTTTTTATTCACCTTCAGATCCGGAGGGAGAGGACGCGGAGGCAGGGCGCCGCTTCTGGTTTCACGTGGTCTTAAGATGTCAGTAAATGGGTTTTCTGTACAAATTGTACAATTTATTAAGAGAGCCAATCAGATTGCAGTGTTTTGGGTGTAAACGTCTACATCTAAGTACAGACAGCGCGCTCTGAAGCCCAGGTGTCTTCAGTGACAGAGAAGAGGCATCAGGTGGGTGCAGAATCTCCAACTGCAAAGAGGTACATGGTGAGGCCTTTGCAACAGTCCCAGCTCACCAGGGTCCTGCAATTTTATGCCACATGGTGTCTAGTTTTTACAGTTGTAGAAAGAGGGAGCAAGCACTTGAACTCCATTAGCTGCCGTATTCAGAAAAGATCTAAGAAGCTTAAAATTTGTAACACATAAAAAAGGACAGAGGAAATATTTGAACAAATGGAATATGAAGCATATGCGTTTGGCTTTTCCTCCTTGATCTACTTATGCTGGAGTAGATCTACTTATGCTGGAGCCTTTCCTAGGAGAAAGGCTCCTCCTGCCCCCAGCCCCTTGCAGGAGCACCCGGTCCAGGCTGGCTGGCTCCCCAGGGAGAACTGCCCACCTCCTGACGTCACTGCTCTTCCACTGGGGGGGTGAAGATTTGAGGGAAATAACCGTGTCTCCTGTTTGGGCTGTCTGTGGAGGTACTATAATAAGTTCTTACCAGTGTAGTCTTGAGGCTTCAAAAAAGGCCTGTTGGAGACCTCCTTCAGAGCTGGATCTGAACCAACTTGAACCGGAACGTCCTGGCGGTCCGGCGATCTCGTTTTACTGTCTCTCCACATTCAAGGTTACTGGCTCACCATGTAAACCCCCATCTCCTGCTGACTCTGCGACTACGTAGCCTTTACTTTTTTAATTGTTAAAAACATAACCTCAAATTTACCACCTTAACCATTAAGTATGCAGACAGTAGTGTTAAGTATATTCACATTGTGTGCAGCAGACCTCTACAACTTTCACATCTTGCCAAACAAACTCTCTACCCTCCAAACAGCTTATTTCCCCCCATCCTCTACCCCTCCAATCCCCTAACAACCACGTTCCACTGTGTATAAACGCGACTACTTTAGATACCATGTAGAAGTGGATCCTGTACTATTTGTCTTTTGTGACTGGCTTGTTTTCCTCAGTGTGTCCTCCAGGTCCCCCTGTGTGGTTATATAAGGCAGGATTTCCTTTTCAAGGCTGAGTAGTGTTCCATATATCTTTATACTGCATTTACTTTTTTTTTTTGTATTATATGAGATTTATTTATTTATTTATAATAAATTTTATTTTTATATTCCCCATACAATTGCAACCCCCCATTCTGACCCCAATCCCTCCCCTCCCGCCCCCCACCCCCCAAAAAGTGTCTCTGGTTCATAGTTTTTTGTTGATTTTGATTTTCACTTTCTTACAGTTATTCATTTTCCTGGTCTCATTTAAGTTTTCTAGATTCCTGCTATGAGTGAGACCATCCGGTATTTTTCTTTTTCTTTCTGGCTTATTTCACTGAGCATGATCCCTTCCGGTGCCATCCATGTTGCTGCAAATGGCATGTGTTTATATTTTTTGAATGCTGAGTAATATTCCATGGTATATATGTACCACATCTTCTTGATCCAGTCATCTATTTTTGGGCATTTGGGTTGTTTCCAAAGCTTAGCTATTGTAAACAGTGCTGCTATAAACATAGGGGTGCAGGTGCTCTTTGGAATGGATGTTTCTGTGTCCTTTGGGTAAATACCTAAGAGTGGAATTGCTGGATCATATGGAAGCTCTATGTTTAGTAGGTCAAGAAATCTCCACACAGCTCTCCATAGTGGTTGGACCGGTTTGCACTCCCACCAACAGTGCAGGAGAGTTCCTTTTTCTCCACAACCTCGTCAACATTTGTTGTTGCTAGTTTTTTTAATATGTGCCGTTCTCACTGGTGTAAGATGGTAACTCATGGTAGTTTTGATTTGCATTTCCCTGATTACAAGTGATGTTGAACATTTTTTCATATGCCTGTTGGCCATTTGCATTTCCTCTTCAGAGAAGTTCCTTTTTAGCGCTTCTGCCCATTTTTTGACTGGGTTATTTTCTTTGTTGTTGTTGAGTCTCATCAGCTCTTTGCAGATTTTTGTGATCAGTCCTTTATCATTAGTGTTGGGTGCAAAAATGTTCTCCCAGTCAGTGGGGTTTCTCTTTGTTTTTGTTATTGTCTCTTTTGCTGTGCAGAAGCTCTTTAATTTGATGTAGTCCAGCTGTTTATCTTCGCCTTCACTATCACTGCTTTGGGTGATGTATCTGTAAAGATGTCTTTGATGTGCAAATCACGTAGTGTTTCGCCTATATTTCCTTCTATATATTTTATGGTTTCAGGTCTTATGTCTAGTTCTTTAATCCATTTTGAGTTGATTTTTGTGTATGGTGTGAGGTAGTGGTCAAGCTTCATTCTTTTGCATGTAGCGACCCAGTTTTCCCAGCACCATTTATTGAACAAACTTTCTTTGCTCCAATGCATAGTCTTTGCTCCTTTGTCAAAGATTAGTTGACCATAAATCTGTGGGTTTATTTCTGGATTTTCTATTCGATTCCATTGGTCTGTATGTCTGTTCTTGTTCCAATACCATGCAGTTTTGATGATTATGGCTTTGTAGTATAGTTTGAAGTCTGGGAGTGTGATGCCTCCATTCCCTTCTTTTTTTTTCAGGAGAGCTTTGGCAATTCGGGGTTTTTTGTGATTCCATATGAATTTCATCAATAATTGTTCTATTTCTTTGAAGAATGACATTGAAATTTTGATTGGAATAGCATTGAATCTGTATATTGCTTTTGGTAGGATGGCCATTTTAATAATGTTTATTCTTCCAATCCATGAGCAGGGGATGTCTTTCCATTTCTTTGTGTCTTCTTCTATTTCTTTTAACAGTGTTTTATAGTTTTCTTTGTATAGGTCCTTTACCTCTTTTGTTAGATTTATTCCCAAATATTTGATTTTTTTTGTTTCAATAATAAAAGGGATGGTTTTTTTTATTTCTTCTTCTTCAGATTTATTGTTTGTGTATAGGAAGGCTACTGACTTTTGTGTGTTGATTTTGTATCCTGCCACTTTACTGAACTGATTGATGAGTTGAATTAGTTTTTCTGTGGACTTTTTGGGGTTCTCTATGTATATTATCATATCATCTGCAAATAGTGATAGTTTGACTTCTTCTTTTCCTATTTGGATTCCTTGGATGTCTTTCTCTTGTCTTATTGCTCTGGCTAGGACTTCCAGTATTATATTGAAAAGCATATACTGCATTTACTTTTATCTGTTCCTCCCACCGCTGGCTATTGTGAATAATGCTACTCTGATGAACTTAGGTGTGCAGATATGTCTTCAAGATCCTGTTTCTGGGGTGTATTCCCAGATGTGGGCTTGCTGGATCAGATGGCTCAGTTTTTTGTGAAACCTCCATAGTGTTTTTCATAGTGGCTACACCAACTAACAGTGGTGCTGGGGGTGGGGCGGGGGAGCTTTCTCCACATCCTCACCAGAGTTTGTTATTTTGTGGTTTTTTGATAGTGGCCAACCACGTTCACGTTTCTCTAACCTCAGAGCCCTCACAGTGTTTATCGATGTCCACTAGTTGGTTTTTATTTTTTTTTACATGTTTTACGTTACTGAATTGTCTGCTGTGTAAATGTCCAGTGTGTTTTTATTGTTCTGATGGGCTTTACAATACATAATTCTCCCAAATGCCCTCCATTTTGTTGACAATGACTGCATTACATCCTTTCCTGTAGTTACATAGTACTGTGGTGTGAGCATACAACATCTTCGTGATTGTTTGTTGATGGACATCTAGGCTGCTTCCGCGTCCTAGCTATTGTAAACAGTGCTGCCGTGAGCAATGCTAAACTTGGGTTTCTGTGTCACTGGTTTCATGTTCTTTGTATGCTCGAGAAGGGGATTTCTGGGTCATACAATATTTCCATTTTTAGTTTAAGGTAAATCCAAATGCTTCCCGCAGTAGTTGCACCCGTGTGACGGGTCTCCTTTTTCTCTGCAGCACTTGCTGGAGGCTTTAGTCTGCCCTATCCTTATGGGCATGAGACTGTCTCCCATTGTGGGTTTTAAGGGGCATCTCTTCTTGCAAGTGACAGTGAACATTTCTCCATATGCCTATTGCCCTTCTGGATAGCCTTCTTGGTGAATTGTCTTTTCATTACCTGTTATCCATTTATTAATTGGGTTGTTTATTTTTTATAGTTAAATTGTATGAATTTTTTATGTCTTGGATACCAATCCTTCATCAGTTACATTGGGTACATGTTTTCTCCCATACATTAGGGTGCCTTTTTAATTGTGTTTTCTTTCTCTGTATAGAAACTTTAGAGGTGATCCCAATTGTTTTTTATTTTTATTTCCCTTGCTTAGGGGTTGAGTCACCAAAAAATGTATTTATTGTTGGTGTTATGGAATATATTGC